CGAAGCATTAATAGGATCAAACCGTTTCAGCGTCTGTCTTTTAAAATAAATTCGACGTTTATGAAACTATTTTTAATTTAAATATAATATTTTAAGCTGGATTATCTTATTTCAAATTGAATTTCTCATATTAAAGAAAAACATCGTTAAAGAATGAACAATTCGAGAGATACTATTCTAAAAACAATAGTAAGCATTAGTGATAATATCAAAGTTAAGTAAACACGTCTATCCAATATTATCCTTATGATAAGCAACTATGGTAGTAAAAAAAACATTTAAGCGAGCAGTTGGAATAGAGAATTGAATTGTTGCTACTCGAAAATGATATGTAAAATAGACCTCCCAATTTATAACGATTTATGTATAATTATAATGAGAAATGTCTTTTACAAAATCTGTTGTAAAATTTCGTGATGATGTTGGTAATCAATAATGGTGCCATAACTTCACATAAATTACTTTATATTTTTGTACGTCATTTTTAAAAGTCATATTAAAAAGCGAAGATTTTTCTCCCAACCCATCTAATTAATTAATTATATTGAGAATGCTTTTGATCTGGATATATTTTTTAATATAATTACTCTTTGTTAGTCTATAAAAATATAATTATTCTTTTTATACATTTACTAGCTGTCGCCCGTGACTCGCACCGCGTGGATAAATAAAAAATTATTATTAATTAGTGTAGCCTATGTGTTCTTTCAGACGATGTTCTATACATATGCCAAATTTATCAAGATCCGTCGAGCCGTTCTAGAGATATCTTCAAACACCCATCCATACCACATCCATCTAAACATTCGCATTTATAATATTAGTAAGTTAAATAAGAAGCAGCTATTCAAGTCATAAATTCGAAAAAAAAGAATAAATAGTATCCTACGTCCGTCCCCTGGCTCTAAGCTACCTCCTCACGTTGATTTTTTTGTATGAAATTTCCTTATACTTCACCACGTGTACAACATAGATACGCCGTTTCTTTGTCTACCAATGTAACATGTTACGTTATGTTTTTCTAACGTTAACAAAATACTTAGATTTATTGACTTTGATAACGTAGAATCTTATCATAAAAAAAACGTGTCTTTAAGAAAATAACTTCAATTGGAATACAAGTAATGCAAAGCTCAAACTAAGTATCTTAAATACATGAAGGAAACTGCAACATTATTTTGAAGTTAAATTCATTATATACATAAACTGCGCAATATTCTTAACATGAAAGTTCCCTCGCCTTCGTCAGTTTATGTTTAGTTGAGACAAACAGCCGATTGGCTAAAGATTTGAATAACAAAAGATTAATTAAAAAACTTTTATTTATCTCAAAGCTAACATTATCATTAATATATCCTAAAGAAATTACTTCTTCCATCGTTATTTCTTGTTTTTGATTGTTTTTTTAAACTAGCTGTCGGCCGCGATTTAGTCCGCGTGGATATATAAAAAAACTAAAAATAAAAAAAAAGAATAAATAGCATCCTATGTCCGTCTCCTGGCTCTAAGCTACCTCCTCACCAATTTTCAACCATATTGGTAAAGCTGTTCTTGAGTTATAAATAGTCTAACTAACACGACTTTCTTTTATATAAATAGATAAGAAGATTACAACTGAAATTGTTCTTCATCCTCAGAGCATTTTATAAACGATGAAGTAATAACATTAGTAATTTAACGACGTCATATAATATTATGTTCCTAAATCTTGTATAAAATTATTATATTTTATAATAATTTTTAAAATCATGTTTGTCATTGCAATTGATTATCATTTTAAAATTATCGTTCATTTTATTTTTGTTGTGTCTTTAAAATTTTAATAAATTTAGCGTGTAATATTATAGTTATGTAGATATAAACGGTTTGTTCAATAACAGCTCACACCTCAATAGTACTCGATAGTGCTTCATCTATTGGAACATGATACTTCAATATTTATTCAAAGCCAACAAAGTTCAAATGTGCATAGAAATCCACTTTTTATTGAACGCTATGAAATACAACTATTGGAATTGTATTTTGAACATCGTCTACTTACTACCGTTCTCATACTTTAAAAAATAAACAGAGATACGAACGAATACGGTTTGTATAAAAGTACTAGCTGTCGCCCGCGTCTCTGTTCGCGCAGGATTTAAAATACATAGATGTTGGCCGATTCTCAGACCTACTCAATATGCTCACAAAATTCCATGAGAATCGGTCAAGCCGTTTCGGAGGAATATGGGAACGAAAATTGTGACGCAATAATTTTATGTATAAGATAAATAAAATATACAATGCCGTAAATAAAAGATTATTTTGAGCATCAGCTCATTATACGTCCATAATGAGGGGCTCGGAGCCGACCTTAAGTTACTAAGAGTGACTGGGCCATAGTCAATCATGTTGGCTGAGTGCGGGTTGGTTGACACCACACACATCTTTGAATTACTTCCTTGACATGTGCAGGTTGCATCACTATCTTTTCCTTCACCGTAAGAACGTCGGATAAATACACAAATGTATATCGAAAATCGAAAAACTTTGGTAAATGACGAAAGATTTATTTATGTCAACTACATTCCTTTTGAATATAACTTTGACAGTTTACTTTATATTAGATTTGCAACTGGCATTATTGAATAGTAATATCCTCTCAGAATTTAAAACGAAAATATATGTAATCATAAAATTTTCCAAGCGTTGCGGATAACCTATCTCTGGCAGCTCACAGACTGCGAAGTCTAATGAGACGACGCGCGTCACGGGCCCTGTCATTTACAGCCAACTTCCAGGCCACTTCACAGCAGTTACGAGTTATTTTATATTTTAAAAGGAAATTACTATCGATTTTTATTGAGAAAGCGTTTACAAAAGCGTTGATAACAATGGCTCCTACGAATGAAGATCAATGTGCAAATTGACAACTTTTCAGAAGACTGTCTCAAAAATGTTATAAGCAAATAGGCCGCATAGGTTTTTACTCCACCAAAAATTTAACACATGCAAATTTTAAGTTTATTTTTTGTGCATGATGTTTACTGAACTGATACAAAAAAAATCGTCAAATTGCAGACACATCGATGTTTTTAAATTATAAACACATTGGATTTTAGTTGAAAATATGTTTTATATTAATTCCTAGAATATTTATTTTACTGTTTGTATTTTATAACATTCTGATCACCTACGCATAAAAACATGACCATGTTATACTTTCATACTTTTTGAATATTGTACAAAATTATTACGAAAGTGTAGAAATATTTTTATACTTATATTTTTATTTATATCTCACGTGTTTCTATCTACAATAAATTCCTAAACGATTACAGATTATAGCTATAATATTATTCTTAATGAGTAGGTTTGTACTGTTAGGAATAAAATCCGACACTGTGCCGGTGTATTGGCGCAACACTAGCCTTACTAAAATGTCGACATAAAAATGCTACCATCTCATTGCATTTCTTGGGATATCATCGGACGTCATTATTAGACTTATGTGTGCGTATGAATGTATGTGTATATGTGTGAGTATTTGTGTGTGTGTGCGCGTGAGAACGGAACTGAGATTCGTTATAATCTACAATATTGCAATATCCAAAAAATACCTGCCAAGCGTATTAAAAAAACATTGTCTTCAAATTAATGAATTATTTTATTAAATTAATTACAAATGTTTTTTTTATTCTATCATAGTTCTGTATTGTCTTTGTGAACATAATTAAAACATGCGTTTATACATCTCTTAGTATTTGATGAAGCCAGCATCCCCAATACAATTACTTGGACATCAATTTCCGTACTAGACCGGAAATTTACTCGGCTTGTCATCCATGAAATGCCATGCTCCCTTTATGTATTACCAATTAAATATATATAACTAACGCCTTGTGTGTATAACGGATCTTTGTGTACTTAATACTAAATTGAAATTTTTACCTCTATTGTTTATATAATATAATCATACACTTGTAGAAGCACCTCAATAAAAATGTTAACGAATTGTAATAAAAAAATATTATTGTTATCCACAGTTAAAATCGCATTTTATTTAGAAAATACTGTTTGTTTCAACGATTAATAAACTTAAATTTTATCAGATGTAATTGAATATTGTTTGGATATAAAAGTTTTTATTTCATTCAAATAATAAGTAGGTAAATGCAAGCAAAACGTTTAAAAACAAAAATATCTTTATCATATTCCACAAGCACTTCTCTGACGTCCATTGAATGTAGTTATGGTATACTTTTTAGTACTATACGAAACAGTGCCCTTCCACCGCTTTACCTGCGATGCACTTTAAACGCCTGATCGCATGAAAATACGAAAGCGACGCGAGTTCGTTCGTGGTGATGCATGAAAGTATGCAGTAACGTTTCCATAGCAACACAAACGAACGTGAAGCGAAAACTTATCTGCTTCTATATTGCAACAAGTATGATGTTGGCAGAGTACTAAGCGTTATTGTGTTGTCGTTTCTTATTTCCTTGTAATAGAGACTTATCGAACGCCTTATTTGTCATCAGACCGCCCCATTCCAAGAAAGAGTTTACACAGGCGCACTACGCGATTGCGAATCGGCGGGGTGTTCAAGAAGCGAGCTCATGATTCTTTCATATTTTGTTGTGATCGGTCGGTAACAACGTCTCGTATAGCATTGTTTATATTTATAACACTTATTCGAAAACGATTATACAACCTTTTGACAATAGAGTTAGTAAACCGTGAATAACAAAAGTCATAATAGAAATTCGCCTTCTGTTGGCAAACATTGAATTTTGTAATTAAATTGAAGATAAAACCGTAAGTTTTACTATATTATTGTTTGCTTTATTATTTAATTACTGCACAGATAATATTTGCTAACAAATATCTTTACGTTAGTTGGCAAATATTAACTACGCAGATATAATTATATTGCTATTTATTCAACATTTAAATAATAATTAATTTGTATCAAATGTCAATTAATCCGTGTTTTTGATTATTTTAAAGTAAAAACTGTGATGGATATCAAATCTGTTCTCGTTTTGGACTATGTTGGAACGAAATGCACGGAAATACTTACAAAACATGGTTTCCAAGTCACCAAAAAGACTTCTATAACTGAAATAGAATTAATGGAAATTATAGATGTAAGTGATTGTTGATGTTATTAACTTTGCTTTATACTTATAATATGTAATGTAATTTGATATTTTATATAATATTGTACATTCTCGATTAATTTAAGATGTGCTTTATTTTTTTTATTCGATTTGAAATATTCTCTTTTTTTACTGTTAAATAATTAAACTTTTTATAATTAATATACAGAATTACGACGCACTAGTTGTACAATCCGTTACAAAAGTCACGATGAATGTTATTCGCTTTGCTTTAAACTTGAAAGTGATTGTAAGTGCCAACGCGTACTACAATAACATTGATGTATTCGCCGCCATGGCTAAAAGAATTGGCGTTATCAAGTAAGTGTACATTTCTTGTTATAATAATTTATCGATTGGCCTGATAGTTGCAAAGTGGGACGCACTATTTTAGTAAACATCTATTCACCATAAAAATGGCAACCACTTAATGTGTATAATTTTTTTTAAGCATTACATTATAGCCACTATCAATATCAGAGCTCTTGATTCATATCACCGCTCTATAGAACTACTGCGTGCATTGATCGTAAGGTTTCTGGTTTTTTTATAGGTAATATTTTGCAATACGTAAATCATCATCTTCGTGTCCTGATCCCGGTCTTGATTTAGAATAGGTTTTCGTCCCCCATATCGATCTATCATTCATCATCTAGTCGTCATGCCCTACTTAGTCCTGTCACATTTCATGCAACCCTTTCTTAGACCTGCACATTGCAATGAATCTCTCCACATTTATATATAAAATTCTCCATGACACTTGCCACTCTTTCCTCCATTGAAAAAAAACAATCAGAGTAATAAACCATCATTTTTATAATATAAAAATACGTAGTTGTTTTTGCTGTATTGCGTATATTTATATTTGTTAACAATAGTTTATGTTTTTAGTTCTCCGCACAGCAGCGTTATAAGCGCAACCGAATTTTCTTGTGGTTTGTTAATGATGTTGGCGAGAAACTTGATGTCTGCAACGGCTACTTTCCGTGCCGGCATTTACGAACATAATACGTTCAGTGGCAATGAGTTGTACCGCAGCACCCTTGCTCTTATCGGAATCGGTGACGTTGCCAAAGAGGTAGCCTACCGCATGAACAGATTTGGAATGAGGGTAAGAATTTTTGTAATCATAGTGAAACATATATCGTAATCAATATATGCTATTATTTCCGTCATATCTAGCTAAGATAACCAAGATACAGAACTAAAAAGAAAATCTTGTTGTCGAGTGCAATTTTAAGATCTTTTTATTTATATTTTTACTAAATCATTTTTATTATAATTTGTTATGACAGATTATTGGCTACGATGATTCTATGTCTGTCATGGAATGCCAGTCATACTTCATAAGAAAAATGAATTTGTGTAAAATATGGCCTCTAGCAGACTATATTATTATTTTCCTCACACCATTTTCAAAAACTCGTAGTAAGTATTTTCAGATTTTTTTATAAATCAACAATATATAATAATTCGATATTTGAATTTAATTAGATAAGACACAAGTGTTATAACTGGCTACTTTATTTCTCAGTTTATATTACTGCGGAGATTCTTTCAAGATGCAAAAGAGGTGTAAAAGTAATAGTTATGGGCCATATAGGACCTTATCAATCGCGTGAAATGTATAACGCACTTCTGGCTGGATATGTAAGCATTAATTCATTGATTTTGTTTGTTATTCAATTATGATATTGATCTATGCTAAGAAAAAGGATCATAGCAATTCTAATACGGAATAATGTTAAAATACAAATAAATTTCAGTTTTGGAACTTTATTAAAAATAAATGATAATTTCAAATTTCAATAAAATAACTGTCCTTATTCAAAAGTTTACAAGATATTTTATGTAATACTAGCTGTCATCTGCGACTCCGTTTGCACGGAGTTAAATAAATTTAATTAGTAACCTATGTGTTCTTTCAGACTCTGTTCTGAAACATCCATCTATCTATCCAAACATTCACATTTATAATATTAGTAAGACTAAGTTGTAATTGCGACAGCTGTTCAAATACAAATAAACAAGAAGATAAAGTATAAAGTAAAGAATATTTAAATATGATTATTTTCTACAGATTGGCACCGCAGCATTTGACATGTACGATGCAACATGCGATAGAGAGATTTTTAAAGTGGCCATGTACCAGCATCCCGCTGTTGTAATCACGAGGAATCTCGGTAAGCAGTAATTGATGTTTACTTTTAGACAATATTAGTTAGAATCATTTAGAGCGAATGGCGCGCTTACGTTACCAAGTCAAGGATCAGATCGATTAGTGAGGTACCATATGCGTTAATATTTTAATAGTGCTAGTGTTGCGCCGATACACCGACACAGATCTTCTTCCTCCTAACAAAAGACTTAGTTCTATTGACGAAGGGAGATTCATATGTACAATTATGTCAAAGAGGTTATTTTTATTTTAAAAACATTAACAGATAACTTGAAAGTAACTGAGACCGTCGGTGGCTCAGTGGTCAAGCACTTGACTTGCAATCTGCAGTTCCTGGGTTCGAATCCCGCCATGTACCAATGTGTTTTTCGATTTCCGATTTACATATGTAAATGTATCCGACGTTCTTACTGTGGAGGAAAACATTGTGATGCAACCTGCACATATCTGAGAAGAAATTCAAAGATATGTGTGAAGTCAACCAGCCCGCACTAGGCCAGCGTGGCTGACTATGGCCTAATCACCCTTAACTAAGGGTAGGCTCCGAGCCCCTGGGTGGGGACGTATAGTGAGCTGATGATGATGATGATGAACTGACATTTCTCTAAATCATTCCAATTAAGCTCCAAGGATGTGTAAAAAAGTTAATAGTAATTAATTACGTCTGTTTGTGTTAACGATAGTGGATTTTAAAACAACAATTTTACGGCGACATGTTCGAAACATCGATCGTCATTTAAAGTCAATATTACTCTACAAAAGTATTATTTCACAGCTACGCAGACCGAGGAAAGTATAGAGAATGGTGGTCGAGAGGCGGCGGAGCAACTAGTTAACTTGTGCAAGCCTGGCACCTACACCACACCATTGTCCATCGTATTCCGCGTCGATGGAATGTAAACGTCGATGTATTATTATAAATTTTAATATTTCTCTATAAATGTAATCAGACTATGTGTTTACAAGTCTACGTTAGTAAAAGTAGTGTGTAGTTTTTTCTTGAGAAAAAGAAATTTCGTAATCGTACTCAAAAGTTAATTGAGAATGTAATCAAGCTTTGTATTTCTTTGTTGCATCATTATTGTAGTAATGTACTTTTTATTGATTAAATAAAATATTAAAATTAGATTTGTTTTTATTCCAGCCTATTCTTTAAGGTAAACGAGAAAGTAACTACGCAATAATATAGATTTTCTTGCCTTCAAGATGTATACTTTCTAACTTTATCGATCGTTCAGTGCATTTCGTATTCAAATAGTTCAAGGATTTCTTTATTAGCCCCGACCTAAGACGTGTATATTTAATATAGGTACTATGGTTTTGATAGTTTTAATTTATAGACGTATGAATAAAAAATAAGACAGTAGCGGTTGTGCCGCGACAAATAGAAATTCAATAATCTTTACATAGGTCAAGGATGTCAGTTCTTTTAACATCATAAAACAGTTGTTTGAGCAAATAAAACAAATACTATATTTTATAACCATAATATTTTACTAGCTATCGTCCACGACTCCGTCCTCGCGGAACTAAAAAAAACTTAATAAGTAACCTATGACTTCTTCCAGACTACGTTTTACATCTATGCCTAAAATCAGCGAGATTCTTCAAACAAACATCCATCCATCCATTCATATAATTCGCATTAATAATATTAGTAAGATGTCAACGCCAAAGGTTTCTGTTCTTAATAAAATGAAGTGTTTCCTTTTTTATACTATGACATTATTTTATTTCTTCATGAACCACTGTGGTAATCGACTTTGACAATGGAACGCATGCGGAGTCTGCTAGTCTACAAGTGTAAATAAAAAAGGTTTGTGAGCTTTCTACAGTATTAGGGCACAAATTTTCTCAGCAGTCTTCAAACATCATACAAACGAAATGTTTTAAAAAAATGGACTCAAACGAAATACTTACTAAATTAGTTTTATGTTTTAAGGCTCTAAAACTCCAATATGAATAACACACTAGTGTTAGTTATAAAAGACCGTTTATAGCTATACTAATTGTATGTGGTTTCATTCGCCATGTTACCGACTACTTCTCGAGACGGCGACTTAAGACTGAGAATGCCACAGGTGTCTTCAAACTGCGCGAGTTGAATGAAACTAAACAAGTCAAATGAATTGTTAATAAAGAATTTATGCTGGCGAATAAAAGGATATATTTCCCTTTACTCAGAATTTATAAGTTAAGCTAATATGATATTAATTTATAAAATTACACTAATAAAAGCATTTAGTAGTCATATATTGCAGCGAAATGTTCATCCAGCATATGAGAATGGTGAAAAGTTTTAGTTGGTATATTATATATTTTTTGACTTCGACTTGAATTTTAATTTTGAGCTTTTCATTAATGATAGGTTTCTTAAGATTAGCTTTATCTAAACACATAAATATTTATGTATGCAAATTTGATTAAGTATATTAATAAAATGATGATGATGAAATATTAAAAAAATATATATATTATTGGACAGGCATTTAATATGGAGAAGCAAAAAGTGAGACTCCTTAAAAATATTTATTTTATTATCAGAGTAAATAAATTATATTTACATTCTTACAGTAATTAAATGACTAATTAATTAAACTATATGTTATTTGTTATTATTTTATTAATTAACAATAATATAGTTTCTTAACGGAATAAATCCAATGTCACACTATACGTTAATTACAGAATATGTACATCGCTATAAAATTCTGAACTACTGATTTATTTAAAGGAATAATACGATTTGATTATGTCGCAATGTCCGTTACCACACAGACGGTTATATTTACAGTAATGGAGTCGTTTGCGTTCCAGAGAAATGCAATGCTGCGCTGGCATTTAAGACTCGCCGATTGTATACTCGGCAGAAGTGTAGTGTGACCACACTATAATATATCAATATCAATATCATAATAAAATTAAATATAAAAACATCACCCTTCTATATAAGACGTGTAAAATGCATTTGGAAAAGCTGAAAATAACTAAATTCAATCTTTTATAAAATAGCGGATTGATAAGCTACTCGAAATAATATTAAATAATATAATTAACGTTAAAACGTATATTTTTTGTTATAATCTGTAATTGCAGTAGTTCACTAACTAAAATTAGTGCCCATATAATATAACTGAAATTTAAGAACTTGACTATCGTACAAAAGGAATTCCTATGTCCTTGTATTCTAAAACGTAACGTTGTCACCCTAAAAGGGTAGGATATACGATGACATTGATTCGGATATCAATTCATTGCCTTATGAGGATTAGTGTAACATTGACGGGCTTTAATATTTATTTTAAATTCTTTACTCAAATTTCAAACACTTTTATCATTATTTTATTACACTGCGAAGAGTAACTTTAATAATAAAATAATTTAAAATCCAAAAATATTCTAAACTATGGTGCTGGATATAAAGCGTGTCCTCGTACTTGACGAAATAGGGACAAAGTGTATAGATATTTTAAATGTCCATAAAATTTTTGTTAAAAAAATGGCTACACTCAATGAAAAAGAACTAATGAATGAGATACCTGTAAGTGATTTTACATTTTTACTTATATATTACCTACAACCATAGGACTACTTATGGAAGAATTTGCAACATATTTATATTTCGCGACTTAATATTAGGATGCTCTTAATATTGAAAACAAAGCTTTTACTATGTATTATTTTTACCCACCTGTTATTAAATGGGACTAATGAGCTTTGATCTTAATTAATTATGTTTTTATAAAGACTTATGATGCATTAGTGGTGCGCTTCTCTACAAAAGTCACAATCGATGTCTTGCTCGCGGCCACCAATTTAAAAGTGATTGCATGCGCGGGAAGTTACTTCGGCAACGTAGACTTATGCGCTGCTAAAAATCTTGGAGTCGCTGTCATTAAGTAAGTCTATAGTGATTATGTTTACTACAACATTTATATAATAAAAAAATAAACATTTGTTTTCTAAGGGACATTTTTTTAATTTTAGTGCTCCAAGTGGTGACAACTTGAGTGCTTGCGAGTATACTTGTTGTTTGACAATGGCGTTAGCCAGAAATACAATGAAAGCTATGGATCTATCAATTGCGAGACATTGGGATCCCTCTCTATATGTTGGGACCGAGCTGAAATCACGGACTATAGCTATAATTGGTTTATCAGACATTGCCAAAAAGTTTGCAAGGTGCATGAGTGTTTTCAAACCGTTTGTAAGTAGTGCCTTAATATAACTCGAAAATCATATCAAGGAATTTGAACAGTTTTGTTAAAGGTAAATAATTTTGTCTGTATTTTATAAGATAATGTGTTACGATTCACGCTACTCGGCGTCATATTGTAAGAGATACTCTGCTATCAAGATGGAATTGAATCAGATCTGGCCTGTCGCTGATTACATTATCATCTTCTCGACACCTTTTGGCAGTAATCAGAGTAAGTATAATTTCACAGACTAAAATTAAAGCTTCTTCAATGTAAAACAAAACTTATTTAGTAGGCTATGTGAACAAATAAATTTGGCATAGTTTAAGAACCACCACACCATACCTCCACAAGAACCTGGAAGAACTTCCAGACTGTTCTTAAACTATGCCAAATTTTAGCGAGATCATTACAGTCGTTCTCGAGATACCTTCACACATACATCCATCCCACCATCCATCTATCAAAACATTAGCATTCATAATATTAGTAAGATTTGTCAAATGATTGAATAATATAATTCTTCTCTAAGTTTTGTTAATAAAATATATACCAAGATCAATTATTGATTTTTAATGTTTTGTATGTGGATAAAAACGGCTTATTTAATAATAACATTTCAATCAAGAAAACGTAATATTAATTCTTGAATAAACATGTTAAAATACTTATTAATTAACATGATTTATTTATCACAGCTTACATCAACGAAGAGATACTGAGAGCGTGCAAGAGAGGCGTTAAAATAATCATAATAGGAAAATCCAATGTTTTTGATACAATCGCAATGATGGATGCACTCAATACAGGACATGTAAATATTATTATTTACTAGCTACTTACGGTGAAGGAAAACATGTTACCACACATGAAAACAAAAATGTTATTTCGGTGTATGTACCGTACATATACAACCAGTTATTATATATTTCTATGACGTCGCCAAGTTATAGCGAAATTTAAATTATAGCATCATAACATATAAAAACGGTATACCGACCATAAATGATATAGAACAGAACAGAACAGAACAACAGAAAAAATATGGAATAGACAGAATAAAATACAAAATTAGTGATCTAGTTCGCTAATACTACTTCACCAATTAGAACCTCTTTTAGTCTGGTTTCTTGACTTTTTAAAAGTGAAACCTAGTAATTTTATAATGTTACCTTATTTATAGCTCTCTTTCTATCTCTCTCCCTCTTACTACTTTCTTACAGGTGAGCGGTGCCGGCTTGGATATGTATGATGAGGATTTAACCCTTTTAAAACAACCTATATTTAATCATCCATCCGTAATAGCATCAATGCATCTCGGTAAGTCTATAGTTAAATAGAGCTGTAATTTACCTTTATATACCTAACATAAATATATAATGATTAGAAAAAAAAACTCTACATCAAATGGGAATGAAAGTAATGAAAATATTATAATGTTCACAGGTGTACAAACCGAGGAAGCGGTAATGCGATGTGGTCAAGAGGCCGCCGAGCAGCTTATTAATTTATGCTTTCCTGGTACTTACTATACATCGCAGTCCACCGTAGTAAAGTTTCAGGACGAGTTGCCTCATTTAGTAACTTCTAATACTTGTTAAGTTTCCTTTTATTTTAATTAAATTATTTTCTCTGTTATTTGGTTGTTTTTTTTAAAATGAAATTTCTTTATATACAGAGTCTTAGGAATTTTTATGCACAAACCGTAAAGGTTGCATGGAGAGTTTTTTTATAAACAAATAAATAAATCAAAATGACTACAGCATCTATAATAAATAACAAGAGTAGCAAATATAAGGAATATTGATTGATGATGATGAAATTCATTTAATTAAAGTGCATGGAGAGTTTTTATGGTTGTTTTTAATTCGTAGCTCCGCTCCTTTTTCACAGATTTTGATGATTTTTTTAATCAGCTGTTATTGCTTGTCACATAGTCTCTTTTATTAATTAAAAAAACTACCGAGTAGTTTTTGAGTTCTTCTTACTAAAGTGTAAGAACAAAACTTTTGGGAAAAGAAGCTATTTCACTTCCTTGCTTTACGGACAGCTTATTATGTACTTCTCCAATTTGAAAACTAACTTCGTGCGCTTCGCTCTTCCACTTGTCCGTTGAAGTTTCACTCCCACTATGTGCCCCAGCACACATTTAGATTATAGAGTCGTAAGAATTTATTTAATTTTTATTTTTATTATTTAAGCAGACAAACTATCTATTGTTTCACTATATATAAATGTTGTTCTTTGTAATCTTAATACTTACAATGCAAGCGAAAAGCAATGCTTTCAAATTAATATAATGTAACTTTTTTAAAACAAAATTAAATGCAATACTATGACAGGCTGGACAGATGTTTGTTTCACAAAGAGCCATTTAATTAAAATGAAATTGAAAATCCAGGTACGCTCGTAAAAGCCGAGACAGATAAAACATTGGTTTCCTGTGACATCGCGCCACTGTACATGCAAATAGTGATTAACTTTTTTTTATTTTATTAAAGTTATACATTTGATATATCATGTAACAGCAATAGTAATTAAAGGTTAAAAATATCCATTTCATAAAATATGGGTTGTTCGGATAAAATACATTTCAACGATATTCAAATACTAAGTGTCGGCCGCGACTGCGTCTGTGCGTAACTAAAAGAAAAATTATACGTAGCCAATGTATTATTCTACATTATGTTTTACATCTGTGTCAAATTTTATCAAGATACGTTGAGCTGTTCCGGAGATACCTTGTAACATACATCTATCCATCCATCCATCTAAACTTTCGCATTTATAATATTAGTAACATGTAGGGAGGCAGGGGAGAGGTTGGACATTTTGAGTATATTAATAATTGGATATTTAATAATAAATTATGTGAGTAAGTGTCCATCTTTCCCCTGTCTCCTCCATATAACGTAGACATCGCACACATAATGCTGTAGGTATTGGTGGCAAATATTGGTGGAAGCAACAAAGATTATGCATGAACCCTTGCAAGGCAGGAATTAAGATGGAGTGCAGGCGGCTTCGAATGATATACATGGGCACGAACGGCAACAGCAGAGAAGAACAAACAAAGATATTGATTTAGATCAAATTGGAAATTATCTATCTAATATGTTGTGTAATTTTCCAATAACTCGTCAACTAAAAACATAAGATTAAAAAATTATTTATCTAGAAATGTATTATATTTTTAACTATTAAAATGTTACCATGCATAAATATTATAAAATAACGCAAGTAAAACTACTTTTTGCACTACACCGTGATGAAAAGATTTTGCAAGAAACTTAGACGTGAACAGTATGGTAGCTTGAGGCCAAGTTAAAACTAAAACTACTCCTGACATTTGCACATTACCGATGGGAACTTATATCTACGTTGACAATTTAATAGAACTCAACAACTAAATATTGTTACTTCGTTGGTGCTACTAAAAAATATTGTAAGAAATATTTTTTTTTCAAAACTCAACGGAGCTTTATCTTACATAGCTGTCACCCGCGACTGCGTCCGAATTAAAAAAAAAATAATTTGTAGCCTATGTTCTTCCAAACTGTGTTCTACATCTATGCCAAATTTCAGCGAGATCCATGCAGTCTCTATGGAGATACCTTCAAACAAACATCCATCCCTTCATCTATCCATCAAAACATTCGCCTTTATAATATTAATAAGGTATATATAGTAAGAAATAACATAGACGTCTATAAGAGTATGCAGCGACGTACATAATTCGCATATAATACGAACAGAAAAATTCTATGCTATTTCTTTTACAATTGCGGCACTTTCCACAAAACTTTTTTTACTGAAGCTCAGAATCTACGTAGTATAGTTATTTGTTACTTGCGCTCAATATCAATATCTTTACATATTAACTCTAAAAAATAAGATTAAAAAAAGATAAATCATTAAACTAAATATTGCATACGGTGTGAAAATTTCGCAGTACTAACTTGTAATAACAGCAAACTAAAATTATTATACGTGGAAGAGCTTTATGAACAAACTAATGTTTACTAAGCTTACAAACATCCTAGTATGTTAATGTTTCAATATGAAATTTCATTTTAACGTAACAACGTTGAATTAAATTTGAGTCTTTTGAGAAATTCGATAGAAATATAATTGAATATTAAAGAACCGGTTTGAATGTGAATCTTCAAATAGAGGAAGACCAAAGAAAGTATAGATGGATTGTGTGAAAGAGGATGCGTAAGTGGATAAAGATGTATAGCGGAGTAGTGAATACCGTGCCTACTCTCCGTAGGGATAAGGGTAGGTTGATGATAATTGATAACCGGTTTATTAGAATTTTTAAAGTTGTATCAGCTTAATAAGCTAAGCGCTTGTTCTTCACTGGTTAAAATATATTCGAAATATCTCATCCCATTTACAATTTGATATACATTTTTTTGTTCACAATAGTTGGGATGTCATTTTTAATAGCGACTAGCTGGATTAGCCGAAATAGCGACCGCTGCTCATAGACAACCGCAATTACGTTGCCTAACTTTAATCGACGGAGGTGGGGACGCATAGTAAGAGAATATTTTGTTGCCGCCTATGCGCTCCGGCCTCCGTCGAAACTACTTTCCTTTCCTATCATTTCTATAAAAAAGGGTGAGAAAGGAAAGAAGAATAGAATTTTGCCTTCGGTAAAAAAAATGTTATAAATACTTACTAATCTATATATTTTAATATTTTTTATAATGGCTTATAAAAATGAAAATATAAAATAAATTCTAGTGATTTTATTTATATTTATATTGCGAAAACAGTTTCGCTGAAGTCAAAATCCTTCGGTAGACGTATTATGTCTAAGGGTGAATGCTTCGTACAGTATTACTGCCTACGCTCTGATTCCATATTATTTTAGATAACAAGCAAACCTCTCGAGACGTGGCAAAAATAACCTTTGTATTATAGTTATTATAATTGACGATAATACTTGTAATGTTACATTTTAACTAGCTAGATGTCCACGGCCTGTCCTCCGAAATCAGGCTAAAAACGTTATTTCATTCGCTCTCTTGAAAATAACATACTCACCAATATGTTATATATAGGTGTTCAGTCACCTCATTAATTTCTTAACTCCGTTCGAATACGTCAACCCTAATAATACATGTTTTGCTGTTTGGCGGAGAAACACCCACGCATCAACATAATGGAATATTCCATACAAAGAAAATAAATATCTTGGCAAACGAACACGTGACCACCTGATTTGAGGCAATTACGTTGCCTACCTGTATTCGACGAAGGAGGGGACTCACAGAAAGAGAATGTTTCCCCTTACTAGGTGTCCCCTCGACAAATCCCCAACTCATTCCATTCTACCTTTGCTTAATAAGAAAAAGGTAGGAAGGAGAAGGGGACTAAAATTAGACTGATTTCACAACACTTAATCATGCAATCATTCCGTTTTCAATATACACGTGCTTCATTATAAGGTATCCATGAAAAATATGTCCAAAAATAAATCAACCTATATTGATTAAAAGCCTAAGGTTTGTATTGTCGAAATTAGATGTTGTTGAGTTAAGATTGAGTTGAATTGAAATCGTTGTAGAAATTAGTCCCTTCTAGTTGCTATCCTCCTGGGTTAGCTGAGCAATAGTTTGCTTAATAGTATTAAGTACGTAACTTCTTGCTAATATCTTAATTTATTAAAAATATTTAGTCTTTGAAATATTTTCACAGCAGAAGACAGGCTCGAGGTAGACTATGCGTTTCTTCTTATGAGATATAGATTTAGCGTGGCAAAGATGAGAAGCATTTTTTTTACCATACCCTACCCTGCACATTTAATTTATAATAATTACCGAGCTTTTACTATAGAAATATGAATTCTGTACTAACTATAAGTACTTACGATACTTGTCTGTAAAAGTTTCCATTGAAGAGTTTTAGTTGTTTCTTTTCATTGAAGTTGCGCAATGTTCCCGTGCCAAACACACCTGTGGCTTTCTTACGTAGCTACAGGGCGAACAAAATAATACGTATACCTAATTACGGACAGTATTTCAGAATATTAATATATTTTTGTAGAATATTTTGTGATGGATGTATTAATTTACATTGAAATTGTTAAACTTCCGTGATATTTTTTGATACAATTAATCAAGTACAAAAATACGCTATCCGCAAACTTCTCTTTATTTTTCTTTTTAATTGAATTAAAACAAAATGATCCCTCAACGAAGTACTAATATTTTCTTGAATAAAACACTAATAACTTTTTCATATTTTATTTTTGAATGAAATTTTAATTTCAATTACAATATATAGATTACACAAAAAGCATAAAAGCATTGTTTAGAAGCAGGAATAAACAAACTGTAAATGCGAACACGACATCATTGACATTGATTGCTGGTTTGCTGTCAGCTCTCTAATATATATGTTCTACAAAGCTGACTTTATAATGTCGTTTATCGATGTCTACTACTTTTCTGTATGTCGCCCTCTCTAATTAAACTTGGTAAGAAAGTTTATTGGTGTATCATATGTATGTGGCTTCCACATGTTAACAATCTGCTCCGCCACTTCTTTACCACCCCGCTCAATAGCTTCTTGGGTCTCCATAGCTGAAAAGATAACTGCGTTATTAAAATCTTAAAAAAAGTTGCTAAATATTTCCGCGTTTCGTCTGTAAGTTTTATAATCTTTCTCCTTTCTGTTCTCTATTGTTTTTCACTTTTCTTTCTCGCAAAATAATTAGGAAATTGTCCGTAATTCTGGAAACCTAACCTAACCTAACCTAACACTATAGAGGACAATTAAATTCTATATTGCACACTTTATTTCAGTACAAAAAGAAAGTAAATATTTCCTTCAAAATCAACAAATAAATGGACTTTTAGTAAATTAATAGCAAATCAATCATTTATAAAACTTCAAGTGTAACATACAAATAGAAATAAAATAATAAATCATTTAGCGCGCAAGCGCAATTAAAATTCGCTTCAGATACTCTTAGAAACTAATGTTACACAACTGAAAAGATACGCTATACACTATAACTTTATATTATTGAATTATAGTAAAATTCCACAAATATTATATAATTTAAACAAACGAATATATTTTTGTTACAAAAAATAATGTTTTTCAATACAACAAAGATTCGTAGTTATATGCATATAGCAAAATTAGAAATGTATATTTTTTATTCAGTCACACTTTAACATTGATTATATTTCTCGCTGATCATTAACATAACATAGCAAATAGTTCAGTATGAAATGACTGTGTGAAAGAGGATATGCGTAGGAAGGGGTAGACTCGAATATGACGGCTGACCGAGATGTATGTAGGAGTAGTAGATAAAGAAATAACAAAAGCACAGCAATAAAATACGTTATTTTTATGCACATTCTTATGAAAATCTTTAAACCATACTAATAAGGTGTATAAGGGACAGCGACGCATTATAGCATTTGCACTTACCGAGATGCGTTGTACATATAACAGACGAATGTTGGAATACTGGATATTTTAGGAAATCCATATCAACGTATTCGTCATACAAATCAAAAGCTGCTCCGCCGACCTGTAAGGACACAGGTCCTTTATAAAATGATCCTTTAATTTTATTTATGTTACTAATGTTATAAAACCGAATGTTTAGATGGATGTATGTTTGTTTGCAGTATCTCAATTAAGTATTTGGATAAAATTTGGCACATATGTAGAGTATAGTCTGGAAGAATACATAGGCTACTCGTTAAGTTTTTTTTTAATTCCGCGAGAACGAAATCGCGGGCCACAGCTAGTGTATTTATAATTCCTTTTGAAGTATCAAATAAATTGCTTTCGGATACTATACATTTTAATTGCGGATATATTTGCATAAAATCATCGCTTTTTATTAGCAGAGACATTGTTGAACTATAGTTAAGGCGGTGAAAAGATCCCGTAACAAGATTTAATGTTCATAAACCAGATGTAATGATGAGTTCAAATCTTACCTGTCCCGACTTGAGACCTTCGTGCATATCACGAGGTAGGAACACGTTGAGATGTCCCATAATTATGATTTTCACACCTCTCTTACATGATTTCAGAATATCGGAGGTAAGGAAAGCTGTTACCAAAATTATTATTTTAATTATATGAAATAAGCAAGTTCGAAGGGCAATAAAAAAGCAATGTTTGGTGTTGACAATCTAGGATTTATTGATAGTGTACTAGTCAAGCCCTTACATTTATAACCCATGTTGGAGGGTTCCGAAAAGATACTAACCGCAAACGCTTCTATCAAATGGAGTTGTGTACAGAACAATGTAGTCGGCTTGAGGCCACATCTCTTCATAAGTCGTCTTGATTATGCCATATTGTCTGTACTCCTCATCCGAAAACGACTCATCAAAGCCAATTACCTAATTAAATTAATTAATGAAAATAATGTGTAAACATTTTTTTAACTAAATAAATTTATAACAACATATTTTATTTATAAAAATATTAAGCATATATCAGAAAAAATCATATACCAACTCTTAAATATTCGCGAGCTTTGCGTATATCACACATTCGCTACGCCATTTACAAAAAATAAAATTTATGAGCTTTTTACTAAACTTATTATAAAACAACTAGGTGTTTAACCGCTAAGCTGGAAGAACAGGTCTCATATTGATTATAAAAAATAAATTTATTACCTTCATCCCAAAAGCTTTCATGCGAACCGCTACTCCCTTAGCAATTTCACCGAGTCCGATAAAAGCAAGCGTCTTGCCTTGAAGTTCAGAGCCCGTGTACATAGCCCTGTCCACCATGCCAGCGCAGTATGAGTAATTGGCCTTGACCAGGTGTCTTGCCAGCGCCAATATCACCGTACAAGTGTACTCGCAAACGCTTACGAAGGTGCTACGCGGGGCGCTACGGCAGTAAATAAGTTTTAAGGACGCATTGCTAGCAAAACGTAGAGCTGATGTTACTAAAGTCATATTATGGCGGTAGTGTATAGGGTGCAACGTGAATTTCACACAACATGATTGATGATGATTTAGTCAAAAAAAGTGTGTGTGAAGTTATTATAACAAAAATTATAATACTAAGTGTGCTTAAAAGGGACAACTGCGATCGAAACTCGTGAAGGCCAAAGATAATAGTCTATTTTATTAAACAAATTCAATAATCAATACAGAATTATCATCATAAAATATACTAAAAGTGTTTAGTAATTCATTTTTGTAATAATATAGCTATGTATGTAACAGACAGCAAGAAGTACAAACATAGATATTAAATCGACGTAAATGCATCTAAGACTGTTACGTTAAAAATTATATGATTAGTATTTACATATCGAAAATACGTAAGTAAAACTGTAATAGAGGGCCTTTATCAACGGTAAAGAAGTCAAAACAACGATTGTTGGAATATTTGTCTATCAGCTTTTCTATTTGTCTGGATGTTTGTGACTGTGTGTGTCTAAAAAACTGTTAGTAATAAATATTTAAGTAAACTATACTAACTTGATAACATGAATGTTTCTATTCATAGCCGCCAAAACATCAATATTCTTAGAATATGCACCCCCACTTGCGACAACCTTCAGCTTTTTGCCAGCAAAAAGAACTTCGATTGGAACTTTTGTACCCGATTGCACGACTAATGCGTCATACTCCTAAAACAAATAATTTGGCTAAAATAACAAGGGATTTCGATTATTTTATTTTCATTGCCGTTGTTAAGGAAGGGGGATCGTAGGACGGACAGGTCGTAATTAAGAAGGCGCTTCTCGAAAATTCTAAATTTCAAATTACCAATTAGCGTATTAGCGATTTGGGGTCGATTTTTATATTATTTAGCTTTATTTTTAATTTGGTTTAGTTTAAGTATATAGTTTATTTAATATATTATATTATTAATTAATTCATTTATTTTGTAGTTGTTAGTTATTTAGTAAAAAAAATGAATGAAGAAGAATGAGAAGAAGTAGAATGCTAAAAACCCGCTCGTTCGAGGCTAAGTAAGTCCACACTATACAAATTTTTGCTCTGCTCATGCCCCGCTCGTGTTCGGCTCGTATAGTGTAGACCCACCTTTATACATGTAGTAGAAAGGAGTGGGTTGTTCCAGTGGCGTGATAACCAACTTGTAATTTTTAAGCGTTGTTGTCAGCTCATATAAGGGATATCGGAGCCTACCCAGGTTAAGGGTGTCTAGGTCATAGTCAACAACACAGACCCGGTGCGGTTCAGTTGACTTCACACATATCTTTGAATAATGTTAAATATGGAAGATATGTGCAGGTTGCACTACGATGTTTTCTTTCACCGTAATAACTTCGGATAAATGTAAACATGAAGATCTAAAATCGAAAAGTACATTGGTATACGGCGGGGATTGAACCTGATAGATTTTGGATCGATCCCAGCATTGCCTTAACAACAGCGGCACCAATGAACTAATTTTTAGTACCCGAAATAAATCTTAGAGCTTCGAATAGAAAGACCAAAATAGTATGTATTTATATACGCACGCAGAAAAATATATAATTTTAACATATTATTCCTAAAAAAAACGACCAGAGTAAAATTAACGACCAGCGGGCCGACATACATGGATCGCCGGTATGTCTATACCGACAGTTCACGACCGACTAAAATTTTCAAGGGCGGCTGCGGCTTCCGTGTCAACATTGTGTGCAACAGGAGCGGGAAACGGGACCGCTAAGGAACACAACAGAAACTCTCTACACTAAATCGTGGAGAGACAGAACTCTCCTTGTGGATTCACTTTAATAAAATATAGGACCATGGCGTTGCCGTCTCCCGGTGACCCCCACCGTAACCACCCACGATCCCAAGGTAAATTTTCTAATTAAATTCAAACAGTAATACTGGACACAAACAAAATTATTGATTACGCCGCGGAAAGTAATAACATTAAAGTACTTACAGGTATTTCATCAATTAAATCCTGCTCAGTGAGCGAAAAATTTTGGGTCACTTTAATGCCATGTTGGTTTAAAATTTCGATACACTTCTTTCCCACATATTCCACTACCAGCACCGATTTGATATCCATGATGGACCTAAAAACAAAAAAAAAGTTACGAAGAGTAAACGAAAACATGAATAAAAAAAAAATCACACTTTTAACAGTCTATTTTTACGAAAAAATAACTCTATTATGAATTTAAACATCTTCTAAAATAAATTTATATCTTATATAAAAACAAATATAAAACTAAAGTATTGAAATTAATTAAAAAAATATCACAGCATAATACATCTAGTTATACAATAAAATTACATTATTCAATAAAATAATATAGTACAAAAATTAAATGTTAAAACACTTACGTTTCAATTAAACTCCAAGATTTTCAGTCGCTGAAAACGGACACAAATTTGCCGTGTACTCAAGCCTAGATATCGAAGCGATGTGCGAAACACAGTCCTCGCCTACGACAACAAGCTTTTGTAGGACGCCCATCTTCAAGCTCCGAATGTTACGGACAATAATATTTTCCCTAATTAATATTATTTTTATATTTACATTTTTATATTACCCAACCTACGTTCTTAAATTAATATTAAAATGTATATTAAAAATACACCTCATTAATTTTTAATATGGGTAAAACTTATTATCTATTTTAATTAAACAAAAATGTATTAATATTAAAAATAAAATAGACTTTCTATATATTCACAAAATGTTTAGTGTAATAATTAATTATTAGGATTTTACCCTTTGGAGGTTATCGTTTGGTCATACCACACTTCTCTTGTGTTGCCCTACCCCACGTCGGCGTCGCTTCTCAAACGATGAAACGGCAATTATTTTCCACTGAAATTTAATTATTAGTAACAATTAATTTAAATAATAAAACAGTAGGAATGTCATAAATATATGGATGAAGAATTGTACTAACTGAATAGATAGAATGGTGATTTTTAATCTTCGATTTTAAAACGAGCGTTGGATAGTTTTTGGAAACTATCCATATTATATGAGTGATAACGGGATAGCTTTAAGGAAATCAATTATACTGAACAATAAGTATCGTTTGTTCTAAAAAAAAAACCCGTTACGATAGTAATAACATTGTTGATTATCGTCCAGTGGTCAAAGTGTTACTGCAATCGCGGTGTAGTTTTCAAATTACTTTATTCATATGTATGTGTAAAAACACATATATGTAAATACGCAAAAATGTTAACAAACGAAGAGATGAATATGAATAGTATTTTATAAGATAACCAGTAATAATGAACAATTAAAATTTGTTAAAAAGCTGAGCTTTCTAGCCTGTGGTGTAGGATTTATTTTTAGAATTATTGCAAAGTTAACAAACACGTGGATAGGAGGAAAAACTCGTAGCGAACATTTCCGTATACTATTAATAAATTTTTTCCCTAAACGCCGCCCCTTGTATACAAAGCTTACCGTATTTGAAATCTTTAGATTATCGACAAAATATGAAGCTATTTTTTTTTTTATAACAGAAGGGGGCAAACGAGCAGCGGGAACACCAAGGTGTTCAACGACGCCAATGGACATCAGCAATACCAGAGGAACCCCAGATGCGTTGCCGGCCTATGAGGTGGTGATAAGCTTGCTTCATGAAGGACCCTAAGTCGTAGCGGTTCATTCATCAATTCAATTTAAAACTTCATAAAACTTATAAAGCATACTGTTATAAAGAATGAAATTTAAAACATGTTGTTCACAGAAAATGGTTCTGTATAACATTGTTCAAATACTCTTGTCGCATCGAAATCTTTTCGGTCTTAAACGATATAGACATATCCCATGTGCCTGTTTGTAGTTGAACTTTTTCAAATGTAAAATATGTATAACTCGTCGGATACATTATTGTAAAATTTTGTTTATCAGTTAAAAAAATTATTGAAAATCTGGTTTTATACTTTTCCAGCATGATATAAAAATTCTATTTTTTTATAAAGTTTTGTAAAGAAATATATGGTATAGGTAACTAAATGCCTCATAAAAGGTCTTAGTTCATCATCGCACAATTATCGTCAAAAAACTGTAAAATAAAATATTTGGTCGTTTTTTTAAATGAAAATACACGAGCTATTTCCAGCTAAAAGTCATTCTCCATTTTATACGCTTCCATTTGAACAATGCGATCGAAACAAAAAGCTTGTCATCGAGTTACCCTTTCAAAGGATTTTTTTTTGTTTGAGATCTTTTTTAATATTGAGAGCTTGTTGTAGTAAATGTTTGGATTTGCACCTGACCGTACAAAAACTATTACTTCTATAAATCCGAATAATCATATAATATTACTGAGATTATCAAATTAAGAAGACAATAAGCTTTAATTATACCAAGATTCTGATTCGATTAGATCGTTGTTATGCGTTGGACCTAAATTAAGTGCATTGATTCAAATGAAACCAATCAATATGCAATTAACTCTTCGTGTCCTCCAAAGGTACGAGTGAAATAACCATTTTGCTTGATAAATATTATAGTAACAGGATTCAGTTTAAAATTTTTTTTTACAGCTTGTATAATTGTGATATTTTAGAACGCAACAGCAGCAGCATAGCAACGCAAAAAAAAATATTTGTGAGCTTTTATATATTGCGTATTTTCAATACAGTACTCCTAATATGTTGAATGTTAAATACAACATATTAAGATATAAGTAATAAATATATCACATTTCCAGAACACTTTTTAGCGTAGATGTGGTTGGTGTCTTTAACATCTAGTCACTTATTTTAGTATAACTTTTTTTCTTTTGAGATATTCCTATGAAATAAAATGAAGGTAATTTTGCAGATGAAAAAATATAACAAAATACAATATATACATCCAGAAACGGTCGCGCTCTGTTGCCTATTGCCTCGCGGCGATTGTCATTTCAATACGCAGAAAAGCTGTGCTACGTTAAATACAGCTATATTACTGTGTGTCACTCTTACCCCAAATTAAAATAATATTTTTTTATAAATATCATAGAGTAGCAAACGAGCAAGCGGCCAACTGAATCCGCCGAAATAGACCAGCGGCCACTAACTTGGATAGACATAGGAGGAGACTCACAGAAAAGAAGATATTTAGCCTTCCTTCGTGTATCCCGCTTCGTTGAATCCACTTCTTCTTCCTGTTCTTTCCTTACCAAAAAGGTGGGAAGGGGAGGGGACTAAAAGCATACTCATCAGACAAAACACGGAATTGCTTTTTGAATAAATAAATGTAAAAAATATGATTTAAGATGTTACAATATTCTGCATATACATATCTATATATACGTTATACATAAGAGAAAATAACAACACACTAAGGCCATATTAACATACATGTGTTCAGTGAAATGTGTGATCCTAATGAATCGGACAGCTAAGGTCTAAGGTCTAGACGCAAAGTTCAACGTGGGTGTATTGTCTCCGCGACTCATCGGCACCGCGGCTCCGTGGCTCCGAGCCTCCGAGGCTCCGAAGCTTCGCGATATGCGCATATTAATTAATCTGACCTGACATATTTGAACAATGAACGATAATCTTACATGAAAATAACGTGTTTGTGATGTTTATTAGAGCATTTAATGTCGTCATCAACCTGCCCTTATCCCTATGGAGGGTAGGCACAGTATGACTACTCCTCCATACATCTCTATTAGCCGTAATATCTGAATCTACCCCCTTCCTAAGCATATCCTCTTTCACACAATCCATCCATACTTATTTTGTCTACCTCTACCTTTGTATCCATCCTCATTCAAGCTCATTACTTTTTTCCTTATATGTCCAAATCACGCTAACCTTTTACTCCTCAACTTTTCGATCACTGGCGCTACTTTCAAACTTCCTCTAATATACACATTATAATTTTATCCTTACATGTCACACCACACATCCATCCGACGAGTGAACCGAGGTACTTAAAAGGTTGGTAGGTTTACACCACCTTGTAAAAAATGAAATTAGGAGCGTCCATAAAAACTAACTGTTTAGTTAAGCGCGTGATTTAACCCTTTCTCCGCCGCTGATTCATATTATTGATGTTAACGTGGTTATATGTTTCACCATTAATATTGGTCAATATTACATTTAGGTAGCCTATGCGTAATAATGTTTTAATGATTTGTCAGACGCTATCACGGAATAAAAGGGTTGATGTATGTTTTCACTAAAATTAATTTGAAACACTGTCTAAGTTTTTTTATGGTAAGATCCTTAAAATCTATTAGCAAATTAAAAAAATCGAACGAATCTGAAACTCTTCTTATCGACTTTGAAATTAGTTATCGTAATTGACAATCCGAACGACGACGCGGGATTTTCTTTTGTTTCGTTACATTCTTTTACTAAGAAAATTGTAGTACTAAAACAAATTGTAACGTAACAAAATTGTAACGTAACAAAAAGACGGCAAAATGCATACGGTACTTACTTGTCCTTATTTTGTCTATTGTAGGATGACTTAGGATCGTAATTATTATGGTGCTAGTTTTTTTTTCTTTTTAAAATATAAACTTGGCAAGCTTACACCACTGGAAATAATGATAAGTTTGTCGTGAGTTACCCATCAATTTTTTTGTTAATTATTAAATATCAAATTTGGGTAAATAATTGCGACCCTAATTTATCCCTCTTAACCGAGTCTAACTAGTTGTAATTTTCGCAGTTTTATATTAATTATTAAAAGAAGCATCACGTTATTTTTGCTTCCTTACCTTATTCTTATAATACCTTTTTTAAAGTATACAGAGGCAAGGTAAAGCGTCCAAATTGAATCATGAACGAATTTTCCTTGAATATTTTCACTCGCGAGGAATAATAACGAGACAGTACCACAGAGGCTGCAGTAAATTGCATTTTAACTAAACCGAAAGAACATTTTTAGATAAGATAAATCCAACTGAAACCAATCTATGGCAAATGAATGTTCGTGACAACTTATATTAAGGAAAACATTTTAGAAAGCAAACGATAAATTCGTACAGAACTTTTTGCGTTAATCTTGAGAAAATAAAATTAAAATTTTCTCTTTATGCTTTTCAATACATTTTATTTGTTGCGAAATTAAAAGTTGTTTTCCAAGTTACATCAAGCTTTTTTTCCGAGATCAGATCATCTTTGTGTTTCAGTTAAAAGTATATTAAATGATTTATGTAAAGAACACCAGCATCATCATAAGCCAAATGAATTTAAACACTGCGTAATAAGTCATAAAGCTTGCAATCATTTAGACAGGCGTAGTGTATGCGAACACTACTCAAACATAAAATTTAAATAGCCTTTGTCTGTTCATGGCTTCAAGCAGTCAAAGGCTAGTTAAATACAAAAACAAAGTTGTTTGTCACAAACATAGCCTTTACATGATTAAAGCATATTTGTATGGAATATCATTCGGAACTTCGCATAAAAGCGAATATTAAATTCTTGCATGTGCAAATTTGTCAATGGAGTGTGCACGTCATTTGAGAGTTGTGGTAACAGATATATTGACAA